GCAGAGGCCGGCTGTACATGTTCTAGTTCTGGATCATCTTGGGAAAGTTGCGACCTTGCCTTGAATCTAAGTTTTCCTCCCTGAAAAAATAACTTTGGAAGGAACATTTACTGGGTGAGGCTAAGTATTTCCTTCTTCCTTCCCTCCCTCCCTCCTTCTTGCCTTCCCCTCTCCTTTCCTCTTCCCCTCCCTCCTTCCCCACTCTTTCTCTCTCTCTTTTTTTTTTTTTGAGACAAAGTCTCACTGTGCAGCCCAAGCTGGCTTTGAACTGACAATCCTCTTGCCTCAGTTTCCTTGGAGCTGGGTTACAGGTATGCATAATGCCTAGGAAGTCTTTTACTTTTGGCAAGTCAGAGACTCTTCCTGGCTTCAGGTGATTCCAGAGAGAATATTCCCACACACCCCCAGCCAGACCAGCTCCTTCCTGGCTTGTTTATATCACAGGCTCCCATGTTACATAATGGGTTTCATGGCTATAAAGAATCTGAGAGAGTATGAGTGTAAGACAGTTTAAATGAAAAGAGTTTCGGGGGCTGGGAAGGTGGCTCAGTGGTAGAGTGCTTGCCTTGCTTGCCTTGCATGCCTGAGGCCCTGGATTCGATTCCTCAGCACCACATAAGCAAAAAGAAAAAAGCTGGAAGTGGCGCTGTGGCTCAAGTGGTAGAGCGCTAGCCTTGAGCTGAAGAGCTGAGGGACAGCACCCAGGCCCAGAGTTCAGGCCCCACGACCGGACCCAAAACAAAAAAACAAAACAAAACAAATGAAAAGCAGTTTCGGCATTCAAGTAGTATATTAGTTTAAACAAATAACTATTTGAAATGATTAGGATTTCATATGTCAAAACTTTGGGAGCGTTTGGGGCAAGTTCAGAGAAGTTTTTAGAATCCTTGGTTGTTCTGATTTTTGAAACATATCTTTTTGCATTTTCATTTCTAATTGGGTTTCAGCCCTAGGCTATTCACAATCACAGAGAGTTGGATACATTTGAAGCTGGGAACAATCTAAATGCCCACCAATAAGGGATTCTGCAATATGGAAGACCCATCTGGTAGAATGCAGGGCAGGATAGCCGTAAGCTTCAGATGCTGTAAACCAACTAACAGAGAAAGATACACCCAATGAATGAGCTTCAGGTATCATTTTTATTATTGACAAAGCTTGTAGTGGATTTGTTAGTTCTGGGATGTCTGCTAAAATATGAAAAAATATGGACAGGAGAAATGGAGGGAATTTTTTGTTCGTTTGGTGCTGGTATGGGCTTAAGCTGGGTACTGTCCCTTAGCTTTTTGGCTTAATGTTACTACTCTACCATTTGAGCCATAATTCTACTTCCAGCTTTTTGCTAGTTAATTGTAGATAACAGTCTCTCAGATTTGTCTGCCAGGGCTAGCTTTGAATCTAGATCTTTAGATCTCAGTCTCCTGAATAGCTGGGATTTCAGATTCAAGACACCAACAACCAGCTGGGCAGGATTCTTTATTATTTTTCATTTTTAGTGTTATTATAAAGGTGATATGCAGAGGGGTCACAGTTACATAAGCCACCCCTTCCCTTGCTGCTTCCTAGGGTTTCCCTCTCACTCCCCCCACAGGTTGTATAGTTCATTTTCAACATAGTTGGATATGATTGTATTGAGGTCCTTTTGGCTTATTTTTAATTTATTTAGCATCTGGAAATCAGGGTTATACACTTGGTAACAGGAGGCTCTACCACTTGAGCTATGTCTCCAGTCCTGGCTTATTTGTATTTTAGGTACTCTAATACTAAAAGAAGTTGGGTGCAATTGGCTCATACCTCTAATTCTAGCTACACAGGAGGCTGACATCTGAGAATTGCAGTTTGATGCCAGCCCTGGCAAAAAAGTCTATGAAGCTGGGTGCTGGTGGCTCACACCTATAATCCTAGCTACTCAGGAGGCTGAGATCTGAGGATTGTGGTTCAAGACCAGCCCAGGCAGGAAAGGCCATGAGACTCTGATCTCCAATAAACCACTCAGAAAACTGGAAGTGGTGCTGTGGCTCAAGTGGTAGAGTACTAGCCTTGAGCTGAAGAGCTGAGGGACAGCGCCCAGGCCCAGAGTTCAAGCCCCATGGCTGACAAAAAAAAAAAAAGAAGAAAGAAAGAAAGAAAGTGTGCGAGACTCTTATGTCACAAATTAGTCAGAAAAAGCTAAAAGTAGTACTGAGGCTCAAGTGGTAGAGCATTAGCTTTGAACAAAAGAAGCTCAGGGACAGTGCCCAGGCCTGAGTTCAGGCACCAGGACCTGCAGAAAAAAAAAAGAAGGGAAAAAAACCCCAAACACACAAATACAAAAAAAAAAAAGAAAGAAAGAAAAGAAAAAGAAAGAAAGAAAAGAAAAAGATAAAAAGGATCTGCTATTTAAAATTTAACATATTCTCTTTAAAAAAGGAAAAAAGAAAAACCCAAGCAAACCAAGCTGGGTGCTGGTGGCTCATCCCTGTAATCTTAGCTACTCAGGAGGCTTAGATCTGAGGATTGTGGTTCAAAGCCAGACTGGGCAGGAAAGTCCATGAGACTCTTATCTCCAATAAACCACCAGAAAACTGGAGGTGGCGCTGTGGCTCAAGTGGTAGCGAGCTTACCTTGAGTTTAAGAGCTCAGAGACAGTGCCTGAGACCCAGAGTTCAAGCCTCATGACCGACAAAACAACAACAAAACAAAAAAACAACAAAGAACAAAACACTTCCAGTTCAGTGATAAACAGCTGTGTCTTCTCAATTAGTTTGGCTAATGCATTTATAAACATTCATTTTTTTCAGGTAGGTAAATATTAATGTCCCCAATCACCAGCTCTCGTGATTTTTAGTATAGTAATAAGTGAGAGGTCAATGGGCGTTGGGTGATTTCCAAACTTTCAGTGGAAGACATAGTTGCACAGAAGACAAAAATAGAAAACAACAGTTTCTAAAAAAGGGACCAAATGCTTAAGGATACATCCAAGTCTACAAAGTGGCCCTGTAGGGCACCAATCCTACCAATTCATTTGCAACCAATTTATCATTCCCATCAAATGAGTCTCTGACTTAACGATCTGCTACTGCTTAACACACTGTTTTGTTGGTGGCTGGGGAGGGGGGGGGGGGAGGGTGTTCTCTGGATGGCGGAAATATCTGGGTAAAAGGACCTCATATCCTCCAATGCTGCTTCACAGATGGGGAAATGGAGGCTGAGGCAGGGACTGAGTGTGGACAGTGAATGTGATGCACAGGGAGGATCAGATCCAGGTCAGTGCAGCCCTCACAGCGGGTATCACTCAGCGCAGATGGTTGCCAGACTTCACAAGTAAAATCATAGATGGGAAGCCGGTGGCTCACACTTGTAATCCTTGCTAACTAGAAGGCTGAGACCTAGAGGATCACAGTTAAAAGCCAGCCCAAACAGTCATGAGACTTTATCTACAATAAACTGACCAGCACTAGCCATGGAGCAAGCAAGCTGAGTGAGAATGCAAGGTCCTGAATTCAAGTTCTGGTTGAGTGTACACACTATCTATCTATCTATCTATCTATCTATCTATCTATCTATCTATCTATCTACCATCTATCTATCTGTCTGTCTGTCTGTCTGCCTGTCTGTCTGTCTGTCTACCTATCTATCTATCTCTCCAGTATATATCCAATTCAACATGAATTTCAGGTACTGCAGATGGTGGAGCTAATGGCCCTGTTCCTCCTCCAGCTGGGCATTCCTCCAGTACCCAGGCCACAAATCCACCCTTGCCTACTAGATACCCAAAGCCTTGGGCACCCTGAGTAAGAGACTTTATGCTACTCCTTGCTTAGAATATTTTGGAAGCTACTTGGCCCTCAAGATGAAGTCAGAGGGGCTGGGAATGTGGCTTAGTGGTAGAGTGCTTGCCTAGCATGCATGAAGCCCTGGGTCCCATTCTTCAGTACCACATACACAGAAAAAAGCTGGAAATGGCGCTGTGACTCAAGTGGTAGAGTGCTAATCTTGAGCAAAAGAAGCTCAGGGGGCTGGGAAGGTGGCTCAGTGGTAGAGTGCTTGCCTTGCATGCATGAGGCCCTGGGTTTGATTCCCCAGCACCACATAAGCAAAACAAAACAAAACAAAAAATCCAGAAGTGACGCTGTGGCTCAAGGGGTAGAGTGCTAGCATTGAGTTGAAGAGCTGAGGGACAGCACCTAGGCCCAGAATTCAGGCCCCATGACTGGACACCCCCCCCCCCACCAAAAACAAAAAAGAAGCTCAGGGACAGTGCCCAAGCCCTGAGTTCAAGCCCCAGAACTGGAAAAAAAAAAAAAAAAGATAAAAATCAGAATCAGACAAAAATAAAATAAACCACTTCTCTAGCTCTCTGCAAGGCTCTCTCCATTCCCAGAAAAGGAGGTTAGACTTCCACAACCTCATGCAAATTTTCTCTTCTTTCTTTCTTTCTTTCTGTCTGTCTGTCTGTCTGTCTGTCTGTCTTCCTTCCTTCTTTCTTTCTTTCTTTCTTTCTTTCTTTCTTTCTTTCTTTCTTTCTTTCTTTCTTTCTTTCTTTCTTTCTTTCTTTCTTTTTCCTTTCTTCTTTTTCTTTCTTTCTTTGGCCTGGGCTGACCTCCAACCTCATTCCTCCTACCTCTATCTCCCAAATATCTGATATTACAGTCCCCTCCCCCCCCAGTGCTCTTTTTTGGCAGTACTGGTGTTTGAACTCAGCATTTCTTTCAGCCACACTTCTACCCCTCACCTGCTCTGCTCATCCCGGGGCTTGAACTCACCTGTGCACTGTCTCTGAACAGTTTTGTGCTCAAGGGTATCGCTCTACCATAGTGCCACAGAAGTGGCGCTGACAGTTCCACTTCTGGCTTTTTCTGAATAGTTTATTAGAGCTGAGAGTCTCTGGACTTTTCTGCCTAGACTGGCTTCAAACAGAGATCCTCAGATCTCAGCCTCCTGAATAGCTAGAACTATAGGTGTGAACTATAGGTGTCCACCTCTTTTAAAAACAATTTAATTTTTAATTTTTTTTCCAGTTCTCTTTGACCTTACTTCACCCATGACCCTGAATGCACAGACAGCACATGAAGGACAGTATAAGAGCAAGTCTTCCTCTTCCATGGATTTACCTCTCCCTGAAGAAGCACACGCAGCCTCCTGAATCCACTGAGGATATGCATAGAGGAGCAAGGCCTCTGGAGTTGCAGCAAGAGTTGGTTCCTGACTAGGAAGCCTTTGCACCCTAGCCTACTGCTGCTGCTCCTTGTAGTAAGCTCCTGGGCAAACAACTGGGTGTGTTCAGAATGGAAACGGCAGCCATGCAGATTCCAGACCTGGCCTGGTCTTTGGCACCCTCTAGAGGAATATTTCATTCTCATACCTGTGCTTTGAGTAACCAAATCCTCTACCATGTACACTGTTGGCTTCGTGAACTCTTCAGACTTACTGTTCATCTCCACTGGCAGATGTCTGCAGCATCGAAAGATTGGCAATGACTCCCTCTCGTGTCAGCACGATGTCACCTGCTCAAGTCCCCAATCTCTGCCTTGTCCTTTCAGACCCAGCCAGGCCCTGAATCTGAAGGACTTGGACCTCCCATGGTTCTCGGTTTCCCTCTTGGCCTCACCTCATTTATTTAGCTCCCCAGCCTTCAGCCTGAACCCCACATGGGGCCAGCTTTGGTTCCTTAATGGAGGCTTGCCTTTCTCAAGGGAGGCATTTTCCTGAGGGCTAGACCATGTTTCTTCTTTCTGACCTCAGGTAGGGGCCCCATAGGAACAGGCTGGGGGGACAGGGGGTGCAATCCCTTATCTCAAATGAGAATGAAGGCTCCCTGAGGACTGACCCAAGGTCTTCTATATCCTTCTGTTTGCTTGTGATTTCCAGAAATTTCTACTCATAGTTTCTATTCTTCTTGGCTTTCCCCATGGGTAGCCTCTGCTACCTCAGGCTCTGGCTCCAAAGTAGGGCCCAAAATGTGGCTTTCCTCTGGGGCTGAAGCTCAGAGAGCCCACCTGGACCTCATCTCTGGCCTCACTAGGGCTGCTTTAGAATTCAGTCACTATGACGCTACTGGCCAGAGGAGAGATTCTATTTTGGGCCGTGTGTCTGGATGTGGCTCAAGTAGCACAAGCCAAACCTCTTCCCTACTGACCTCTCCCCTGGAGGAGTGGACATAGCCTTGGACTCATGCTGGGGAGGGCCGAGAGGCAGGCTCCAGGCTGAGGTCACCAAGATAGCAGAGGCTCAGCTGTGGGTGCAGTGTGGAGCCTGGGTCACACATGGAGGAATGAGATCAAGCTTGCTTTAATCCAGGAACTCCTGAGGCAGAGGCTGAGGTGTGTCAGCAGCGTGAGTGGGGCTCCAAGCTGCTGGGGGCAGGTTGGGCTCTTAGGAACTTCCAAACCTGGAGACTACTGTATGGGTCGGAGGTGATGGTGGAGTTATTTGGGAAAGAAGACCCAGCTGGGAGTGGAAGGCTTGGCTTTCTATCCTAGCCTCTGTTTCTTTACCTGTAAGGTGGTAGCTGGCAGGACCAGAGAAGCTGGGGACAGCAGAGGCTGGGAGGATGTATTGGGCCAGGTTGTCAGCAGGGACTGGGGATGGGAGGAAGAAGGAGCCAAGAACCAACTCCACTGGTCCAAGGCAAAAAAAAGTAGGTCAGAGATGGGTCAGACTAGAGACAGATTTTGGTGATAGGGTTTTGTGCTTGGAAAGACTTGGGAAAGGCGAACAGGACCTCTGAAGGACCTGGCCCAGGGGTCTGGCTTCCAGAGGCCAATATGGGAATAGAGGGTGGGACTCCAGGGCCTGTCCTCATTGGCTGAGACACACCTAACCCACCCCATTTCTCCCTTTCCAGCTAGCAGAACTGTGTCTAGTGTCTTTTCCCATGGAAACGGGGCGGGAGGGAGTGGGGGAGCTGACATATGGGTCAAGTTCTGTATCCCCCATTCCTATTTCACCTCTCTGTGATTCCACAGCATTTAGAAATCTGAAAGACCAAATATGGCTTGGATGGACAGGCAGAGACGGTAAGCAACCCAACTTCTATTCCTCCCCCTGCCCACTCTTGGCTCAGCATACCTTATCCTCTGACTCAGTCTCTCTCTTGCAGAAACTGTTCTCCTAAACCCCCTCCTTTTCATCCACTTAGTAGCTCACTGGGCCCCAGAGGAAGGATCCCTCCTACCTGTCTCTCATGCCCCATAATGCAGCTGACACTGGGCCCAGGGTAAGGGAGTTTGAAAGACCTGGATGGGGATCTGAGGTTGGCCATTAGATTTTTTTTTTTTGGTTCCGTTCGTGGGGCCTGAACTTGGGCTTGGGCGCTGTCCCTCAGTTCTTCAGCTCAAGGCTAATGCTCTACCACTTGAGCCACAACGCCTTTTCTGGCTTTTTTCTTTTTGCTTATGTGGTGCTGAGGAATCAAACCCAAGGCCTCATGCATGCAAGGCAAGTGCTCTACCACTGAGCCACCTTCCCAGCCCCCGGCCATTGGATTTTGATTGCCCCTCTATAGGTGGCACTCAGCTGAACTGAACTCATCACCCCTCAGCTTCTCAGGCATAACTCTCTTTGGGGCAAAAGCATGAGCCAAAGTCCTTGTACTGGCCAAGACTCTCCCTATCTGCTCCCTTTTACTTCTCTGGACCTCATCCTAAGCCTCGCTCTACCTGCTCCAATCACACCAACTTCCTTTACTTTCTGCACACATGTGGAGTCCTGCATTGACTTCTTTTTGCTTGAAGTGCTCTTCTGCATTATTCCTTTTATCTCCTCCATGTTTGTTCAAAAGCTACCATCCCTGCAAGGCTTATGACAGCCCCACTTGAAATCAAATTCCATGCCCTCAGTTCTTTTTCTCTACCTTATATTTTCCCATAGGACTTAATTATCTTCTAACAAGCGACTGTCCTTGCTTATGCAAGTGCTGCCAGTACCACGTGAGTTAGAGTATCTGTGCCCTTGTGGGTGTGGAAAACAAGTAGATTCCACTGTGTATGGCTGACACTTCTGTCTCTAGCCCACATCTCCCTCCTGGGCTTCCAGAGACCCACTGGTAGCCCAGATTTCAGTTGAAAACAGATTTCTACACTTCCCCCAAACCTACTCCTCTTCCTATGGTCTCTGCTTGGTCAGGGGTCTCCTCCTCCAAGTTCAAGCCAGAAGTCAAGACCACATCCTTGATGTTTTTCTTTCCATAACCTCACACCTACCGAGTGGCCAATATCCTAAAATATCTAGAACACGTAAATTTCCTGTCATTGTTTCTACCTGATTGAGCTACCATTTGTTTTCTTCTTCTTCTTTTTTTTGGTCTGTTGCTGGTGTTTGAACACAGGTTCTCATGTTCTTGCTTGGCTATTTTGCTCAATGCTGGTGCTCTATCATTTGATCCCCAGCTCCACTTCTGGCTTCTTGGTGGGTTAATTAGATAAGAGACTCAGGGGTCTGGAAATGTGGCTTAGTGGTAGCCTACCATGCATGAAGTTCGATTCCTCAGCACCACATAAACAGAAAAGGCCAGAAGTGGTGCTGTGGCTCAAGAGGTAGAAGTATTAACCTTAAGCAAAAAGAAACTCAGGAATAGTACTCAAGTCCTGAATTCAAGCCCCAAGACTGGCCAAAAATAAAAAGAGTCTCAGGGACTTTTTTGCCTGGGCTGGCTTCAAACATCAATCCTCAAATCTCAGCGCCCACCCCCTTTTTTTTGGTCGGTTGTGGGGCTTGAACTCTGGGCTTGGGCGCTGTCCCTCAGCTCTTCAACTCAAGGAGAGTGCTCTACCGCTTGAGCCACAGTGCCACTTCCATTTTTCTAGTGATTTATTGGAGATAAGAGTCTCACGGACTTTCCTGCCTGGGCTGGCTTTGAACTACAGATCTTCAGATCTCAGCCTCCTGAGTAGCTAGGATTACAAGTGTAAACCATCATGCCCGGCTCAGCCTCTTGAGTAACTAGAATTACAGGAGTGAGACACCAGCACCCAACGCTCTTCTTTCTCTCAATCCTCTAGATCCCAGGACCTTCTCCAAACTTCAGTCTAAGACTTCCTTCCACACAGATGTTGGGGCCTGAAACTCATCTTTTCATCTGTCTATCCAACTAAGCATTCATTAAACAAATACTTGTTAAGTGTTGGGTACTATGGGAAGCTTTGGGATGTAGTTGATTGCAAGAAGCAGATTCTCCAGTTCTCATCCAACCAATATTTATTGCACATCTTCCCTGTATTAAGCACTGAGGATAAAGCATGAAGAAAGGTCCTTTCTTCCCTTTCTCACTCACTCATTCACTCATGCATTCAGTTACTCAAAATTGTCTTTTTATGCCCACATGGTGCAGGGCTGGTGTGTTTTGCTGACTCCCTCATCTTCAGAAGCTGATGCATATATGTATGTATGTATATATATATATATATTTTTTTTCAGGACTCAGTGCTGCTTAGAGTCCACAATCAGTCTTTAATTTATGCAGTTATTAGGTTGCTTTACTATTGCCGGCCCTGACCTCTGTCTCCTGCAGATAGACAACTCTTCAGCCGACTTTCTCCAGCAACTCATAATTCCCTATAGTATGTGTGTGTGTGTGTGTGTGTGCCAGTACTGGGGTCTGAACTCAAGGTCTGGGAACTGTCTCTTAACTTTTATTGCTCAAGGGTGATACTCTACTACTTGAGCCGTAGCTCCACTTCCGACTTTCTGGTGGTTAACTGGAGATAAAGAGTCTCACAGACTGCCCAGGCTGTCTCTGCAGCTTGATCCTCAGATCTCAGCCTCCTTAGTAGCTAGGATTTACAGGTGTGAATGAGCCTCTGGCACCTGGCTGCCAATGACATATTCAACGGTGCCACTTGTTCAGGCCTGGCTAGAAGAAAGAGCCTGGATGAGTCATCTTCCCCAGTTCCCCTCCATGTCCCTGTGGTGCTTGATGCCTCCAGTCCCAGCTGTCCTGACTGTCCTGGGCTGGAGAAGGCATAGGTAGAAAGGCTTCAGGGTTACTCATTAACTCAACCGTGAGCTGAAGAGCCCATCAGCAGGAGGCTGACTTGAGTCTTCTTTCTGTGCATGGGCTTGGACTGCGGCTGCTTCACGCCCACCCACAGCTCCATGATGAACTCTGGGCCTATACTAGCAAGGATAAAAGCAGTATTGCGGAAGGAGATGGTGCGAGAGTTCCTGGCAGAGTTCATGAGCACATATGTCATGATGGTAAGTGGGCAAGTAGTCTAGGGTGGGTGGGATCCCTCCCTCCCTCCCTCCCTCCCTCCCTCCCTCCCTCCTTTCCTCCCTATTACCCTTACCCCTTAGAGCCTATTATCCCTTCCCCTGCCACTGAGCTGGGAGTCTGGGAAAGAAGCAAAGGAAAGTCTTTTGGGGGATGGAAAGGGCTCATAATATGCCAGGATAGAATGCAACAGTAGATTGGAGGTCAGGGATCATGAGTAGAATCATGACTCAGAAGTCATGATGGAGCTTGGTACCTGTAGCTCTCACCTATGTAATCCTAGCTATTCAGGAGGCTGAGATCTGGGAAACCCAGCTCAAAGCCAGCTCTGGCAGGAAAGTCTGTGAGACTCTTATCTCCAATTTAGCACCCAAAAAAAGCCAGAAATGGAGCTGTGGCTCAAGCCTAGATCTTTAGTGTTGAGCACAAAAGCTCAGGGCAGCATCTAGGCCCTGAGTTCAAGCCCCAGGACTGTCATTAAAAAAAAAAGAAGGGGCTGGGAAGGTGGCTCAGTGGTAGAGCGCTTGCCTTGCATGCATGAGGCCCTGGGTTCAATTCCTCAACACCACATAAGCAGGAAAAAAAAAATCTGGAAGTGGCGCTGTGGCTCAAGTGGTAGAGCGCTAGCCTTGAGCTGAAGAGCTCAGGGACAGCGCCCAGGCCCAGAGTTCAGGCCCCATGACCGGACCCCCAAAAAAAATTAAAATTAAAAAAAATTAAAAAAAAAATTAAAAAGGAAGAAGGCATGATGGGAAATGTGGAAGAGAAAAGCCAGGAATAGAGAGATCTGGGAAAACCTTGTCTGTTAGGCCTTGGGAATTAAAGGGGAGACATTGAAGGCTCCCAAGCAGGGGATTTTAGAAAGTAACTGAGGGTACAGTGTGGAGCCTAAGCAGACAAGCCAGTAGTGAGGTGGCACCATGACTGAGGGGGAGGGAGGACAGCGATGGACTGGGGTGGTGAAAATTTGTAGATGATGGAGGAAAGAAATTCTTCAAGCAGCCGACATGAACTAAGCTCTAGGGGCTATTCTGGAGTATGGGCTCAGCACAGGGCCAGAGATGAAGTTGCTTTGGATGTCACCAAATGAAATGTTGCTGGAACAACTTGGACAGTAGTTAAATACTCGAGAGGCTCGGGCTGGAAGGAAAGAAGTAAAGTTTGTAAGAATATGGGTGCCCGTGGCTCATGTTTGTAACCCTAGCTACTTAGAAGCCTGAGATCTGAGGATCACTATTTGAAGACAGCCTGGGCAGGAAAGTTTATGAGACTCTTATCTCCAATTAATCAGCAAAAGGCCAGAAGTGGATCTGTAGTTCAAGTGGTACAGTGCCAGACTTGAGGAAAAAAGTTCAGTGACAGTGCTCAGGTCCTGAGTTCAAACTACATGATTGGTGCCCCCCCCCCCCCCCCAATGATTGTAGAGTTCTTATCCTGATGTCACTATTGAGTTAGTGAGCTGTCCATGGGTAGGATTCTGGCTGACTCCAAGCTTGTTTTCCTAATTCTGAAGCATAGACTCCATAGAGGCAACCCTTCATAAGTTTGAAGTTGGGTTTGAACTCTGGATGTGCTGCTGTGTATTTTTTTTTTAATCCCCAGCCTTTCCTTTATTTTCCCCTTTTCTCCTTTCCTTTCTCTATTATTATTATTATTATTTTGCCAGTCATGGGGCTTGAACTCAGGTCTAGGCACTGTCTCTGAACTTTTTTTGCTCAAGCATTTTAATGGCTCAGAGCATTAGCTTCCTTGTTGATAAGCGTGAGCACTAACACGGGTGGCAGACTTGTGTGTAGGAGGCCAGGTACCAGCACCTGGCCTATATGTGGTCTGTCAGTTGGCCCCTTGTTACTCTGAGCCTTTCTTCTTCCCTTCCTTTTTCTTCTCTCTTACCTGCTTTGGCTCCTGAGTGTGAACACAGCCTGATGTCTGTCCCTCTTTAATCCGGGACAAAGTAATTCATTTATGACAAGACATTCCAGTCCCATGAGGGCTGTTAAACCTTGGAACCTGGGAGGCACAGGGTGATTCCTCGGGAGTTCTTAGGAAAGCAGGCACTGCCCACACTCCATGATATCCGCCCATTATCTCCCAACCCTTCTCCTTTCTCTCCTTTTCAGTGCTGGGGATCGAACCCAGGGCGTTGTATGTGTTAGACAAGTCTTTTTTTTGCCAGTCCTGGGGTTTGAACTCAGGGCCTGGGCTCTGCCTCTGAGCCTCTCTGTGCTCAGGGCTAGCGCTCTACCAATTGAGCCACAGCGCCATTTCTGACTTTTTCTGCTTATGTGGTATTGAAGAAAGGAACCCAGGGCTTCATGCATGCTAGGCAAGCACTCTACCATTAATCCACGTTCCTAGCCCAACTTAATTATTTTTAAAATTGTTATTAGTAAGGAGTTGCACAAAGGGGTTATAATTCCATTAGTCAGGGAATGGGTACTATGCTTCTTGGACATTGTCACCCCTTCCTTTGCTTTCCCTCACTTCCCCCCCTGTCCCTGCCCATACGCTTTACATTCTACCACTTGAGCCATTGGTCTACTTTCAGCTTTTTGGTCTCACAGACTTTCCTGCCTGGGCTGGCTTTGAACTGCTATTGTCAGATCTCAGCCTCCTGAGTAGCTAGAATTACAGGTGGGAGCCACCAGAGCCCGCCTCCTTAGCAGGCTTGTTAAAGCCTTCATCTTCAGGCTGTGCATAGTTCAAGACTCTTTTCAGTTTCTCCATCTGTAGGGTGGGAGACAAATATAAAACATTTGCTACACAGATTTGCTGTGATGGCTGAAGGAAAGTAATGGTTGTACAAGAACCTGGTGAGTTGGGCATGGTAATGCATACCTGGCATCCCAACTACTTGTATGAATGAGGCATGAGATCTCTGAGCTCACTTTTGCAAGATTAGAGAGAGATTATCTCAAAAACAAGATACAAAACAAAAGGGCTGGTCTTGCAGCTCAAGAGGTACAGTGCCTGCCTGTGAGTCTGTAGTACTCAAAAACAAACAACAAAACCTTTCCAAGCTTCAAGTTTATATAGGACATTGTGTTGTTATTTTTAGTTACCCATCCTAAGCCAAGAAGTGGAGGCTTTTTCAGTTGATAGGAAGCCCAGTGAATCACCAGGGTAAAGGTTTTACACAAAAGGCTAGTGTGACCTTGGACCTCATTTATTGAGGCTGGAGTGAGGGCAGTGGACTGTTCTCCTCCACTACCTCTAGAGATGTCTTTGGAGCCAATTTCCTGGCTATTGTGGAGACTTTGGGGCTGGGCTATTATTCACTGACCAAGAAGAGGAGTAGCTGGAGCTATTAAGGCCCTGGTGGAAACCCAGCTGTACCCTTGGGCCACGGGGCATGGATGGCAAACTTACATGCTACAAGGGCCAAGCCAGTCAAATTAGGGGACTAGGGGCTTGGGTTACGCAGAGTAGGTAAGGGAATGGCTGCCACTGCTCTAGCTGACTGTCGCTGTAGAGGTGGAATGCAGGCCAGTATGGCCCAGGCTTCTCATTTTTTCAAAAGGAGTTGAAACTTGTTGTCTTCAAAATCAAGTTAACCAAGCCTGGCCTCAGTGGCTCATGCCTGTAATCTTAGCTGCTGAGGAGACTGAAATCTGAGGATCAGAGTTTGAAGCCTGAACAGAAAAGTCTGTGAGATTCTTTTCTCTTAACTACTGAAAAGCTGGAAATGGATGGAAATGTGATTCGAGTGAAAAAGCTAAGAGACAGTACCCAGGCCCTGAATTCCCCAGTTACTGGCAAGTACTACACACACACACACACACACACACACACACACACACACACACACACACACACAAGTGCTATCAGAAATTTCATTCAGGGACTGGGAATGTGACTTAGTGATAGAGTGTTTGCCAAGCATGCATGAAGCTCTGGGTTCTATTCCTCAATACCACATAAACAGAAAAAAGCTGAAGTGGCACCATGGCTTAAGAGTAGAGTGCTAGCCTTGAGCAAAAGAAGCTCAGGGACAGTGCCCAGACTTTGAGTTCAAGCCCCAGGACTGACAAAATAAAGAAAAAAGAAAAAAAGGAATTTCCTTCAGCCTAGCTTGTAGTTTGAGATTCCCTAAGTTGTGCATTTTATCTCAGGAACCCCTTTTTTATTTATTTATTTATTTTTTGGTCAGTCGTGGGGCCTGAACTCTGGGCCTGGGCGCTTTCCCTCAGCTCTTCATCTCAAGACCAGCGCTCTACCACTTGAGCCACAACACCACTTTTGGCTTTTTCTGCTTTTGTGGTGCTGAGGAATTGACCCAGGACCTCATGTATGCGAGGCAAGCACTCTACCACTGAGCCACCTTCCCAGCCCCAGGAACCCCCTTCTTAAAGCTCTACCTCCACTCAAACTTCAAGTGGTCCAGGGTCAAGGTGCCTGGAAATGTCAAAGACCTGAATCCTTTTTTTTTATGGCACTAGAGTTTGAACTCAGCGCCTCCCACTTGCTAGACAGGTACTCTACTACTTACACTATACCCCAAGCTATTTTATGCTTCAGTTTGTTTTCCAGGTAGAGTCTTGCTTTTCTTGTCCAAGCAGTGTGGACTGTAGTCCTCCTACTTACACTTACTGTGTAGCTGGGATGTTAAGTGTACTCTGCCACACCCACCTCTATTCACTGATATGGGGAGGTCTTCCTTTTTGCTCATACTGGCCTCAACTTTTGATCCTCTCAATCTCAGCCTCTTGAGTAACTACAATTAGGAGTCACTACACCTAGGTCCTTAATCTTTTTGTCGGTCATAAGGCTTGAACTCTGGGCCTGGGCTGCTGTCCCTAAGCTCTTCAGCTCAAGGCTAGTGTGCTACCATTTGATCCACAGTGCCACTTCCAGTTTTCTGGTGTTTTATTGCAGGTAAGAGTCTCATGGACTTTCCTGCCCGGGCTGGCTTTGCACCACAATCCTCAGATCTCAGCCTCCTGAGTAGCTAGGATTAGAGTTGTGAGCCACCAGTGTCCCGCCTGTGAGTCTTTTTTTTTTGGGTCCGGTCGTGGGGCCTGGACTTTGGGCTTGGGCGGTGTCCCTCAGCTCTTCAGCTCAAGGCTAGTGCTCTACCACTTGAGCCACAGCGCCACTTCCGGCTTTTTTCTTTTTGCTTATGTGGTGCTGAGGAATTGAACCCAGGGCCTCAGGCATGCAAGGCAAGCGCTCTACCACTGCGCCACCTTCCCAGCCCCCTGTGAGTTTTTTTATACTCACCATCAGCTCTCCCTGGGTCAGGTTTGAAAGGCCTCCCTGAGGGCATGGAAGAGAAGGCTCTGGAGAATGAGGATATGGTGGAAGGGTTTTAAGGGCAACAACAGGGAGATAGATGGAATGGAAGCGGTGGGAAGCGAATTGACTGTGAGCTCTTCGCTCAGGATGTGGCTGCTGGGCAGGCAGACCCTCAGAAGCCCTCCCTTGCAGGTGTTTGGCCTTGGTTCTGTGGCTCATAATGTTCTAACAAATCAAAAACAAGGGAGCTACCTTGGTGTCAACTTGGGTTTTGGCTTCGGAGTCACTATGGGAGTGCACATGGCAGGCAGCATCTCTGGTGAGTGAGCCCAGACCTTACCTGACTGGTCACAGTCAGGTATTTCTTAACAGATACCCCACATAGCTTCTGTGATCCGGCCAGGGCCTCACTGGTGACCATGAGGAGGGAGAATACCTCAGAACCCCTTGTCTCTATCTGTGTCTTCTCCAGACACTCCCTGGGCCCTCTCTCCCACCACTTCTACTGGCTGGGTCATCTTAAAAAAATGCTTTTACCTCCTCTGTCCCTCACTTTTCTTGAGTAGAGGGGTTAAACTGGAGGTGGGTCCCTAAAGTCATTGTAAGGGGTTAAATAAGAGTATACTTGTCACATAGTCTGTACTCCGTAAACACTAGCTGTTAGTATTGTTGCTCTCAATGTTATTTATTTTGTTGTTCATTTCTATTTTTGCTCCTCCATTAAAACCTGTCCCTCACTACAACAGGGGCCCACATGAATGCAGCTGTGACCTTCACCAGCTGTGCGTTGGGCCGTGTGCCCTGGAAGAAGTTCCCTGTGTATGTGCTGGGTCAGTTCCTGGGCTCCTTCATGGCCTCTGCCACCATCTACATGCTCTTCTACAGTGAGTTTTCTGCTTCCAATCTCAGCCTCCTCCCCCGAAATATGAGCAAATCAGATTTTGTGTGTGTGTGTGTGTGTGTGTGTGTGTGTGTGTGTGTGTGTGTGTGCACACCCGCAGGTTCACATGTGCATGCATGTGCATGCATACTAGGGCTGGGGCTTGAATTTGGAGTCTGGGTGTTGTCCTTTAGCTTTTTTTGCTCAAGACTGGTGCTCTACCACTTGAGCCTTAGGCCCACTTCTGGCTTTTTTGCTGGTTAATTGGAGAACTTTGAATTTTTCTGCCTGGGATAACTTAAACCTTGAGCCTAGCTCTCAGCCTCTGGAGTAGCTAGGATTAAAGGTATGGCCCACTGGTGCCTGGCCAGCAGATGAGATCCTGGTACCCCAGTCTGTAAAAAAAAAAAAAATGCCTTGGAGAATCTGATCACAAAGACTCAACATCCCTAATATCAACTACTTAGGAGGAGATCAAAAAGATGATGGCTGAAGATGCAGCTCTGGCAAAACTCATCAAGACTCCCACCTCAATAAGCTAGGCAAGTTGATGCGCAGCAGTGATCTTAGTGTAAAGGAAGCAGAGGTAGGGGTATGGTGTTCCAGACTGGTTTGGGCAAAAGCTCAAGACTTTATCTGAAAAATAACTACTGGAAAAAAAGACTTGGAGTGTGGTTTGAGTGGTAGAGGGTCTGTGTAGCAGATGCCAGGTCCTGAATTTAAAAGAAAACAAAAGATGTGGGCCTCCAGTGGTGTAGGTCTCTCTTTATCTCCACAGCGGCCATTCAAGACTTCTCAGGTGGGCTGCTGACAGTGAGCGGCCCCAAAGCGACCGCGGGCATTTTTGCCACCTACCTTCCTGGCCACATGACATTGTGGCGGGGCTTCCTGGATGAGGTGAGTAGTTCAGGGAGGGCTCCCCTTCCCAGATCCCCTCATGACAAAGAGGACGTGAGCAATTTGGGTGAGGCGTGTACCCAGACGTGTCTCTGCCAAGGCGTCTGGACTTGGGGACCTGCTGAGGCCCCGTGACCAGGCCAGGGCCTCTGCGGCTGCCATGGCCTCTGCTCCCCAGGTGTTCCTCACAGGGATGCTCCAGCTGTGTCTCTTCGCCATTACGGACAAGAACAACAATCCGGCCCTTTCAGGGACAGAGGCCCTAGTGATTGGAACCCTCATTTGCATCATTGGGGTGTCCCTAGGCATGAACACAGGATATGCTATCAACCCATCCCGGGACCTGCCTCCTCGCTTCTTCACTTTCATGGCCGGCTGGGGAACACAAGTGTTCAGGTACTGCCCTGCCTAGGCTCCATTTCTGAAACTTTCTATGGGTCCCCTGCATGCGGAGTCCCATGGCGCCTGCAGGTGGTCCAGGGGGCAGGAGGAGGTTCTGAGGCTTCTTGGGGGAAATGCACATGCTTCTGTGGGACTATCAACTCAGCCTTAAATTGGGCTGAGGCTGGCCAGGACAACAGATATCCCCTGAGGTAGATGGAGGGGAATGGTAGCTTCTCTGCTCACTCCATCTAGGCCTCCGATGGACAGGAATGCCAACCTGGGCACCATGGCCCTCATAGGCATCCTCTTTTTCTCACCTACAGTGCTGGGGACAACTGGTGGTGGGTGCCAGTGGTGGCACCGCCCCTGGGTGCTTACCTAGGTGGCATCGTGTACTTGATCTTCATTGGCTGCAACAGCTCACAAGAACCCCCGAAAACGGAGAATTCTGTGACATACGAAGACCACAAGATAACCATATTGCCCAACAGCAGCTCATCCAAGTCTGCTCTTACCCCCATGTCTGTGAACCCTGCTTCAGTCCAGCCTGCCCAGCCCTTGGGCAGTTCCGGGATTACAGAGCGTTTCTAAGTAGAGATTATTTGTGATCCCAACCCTACTCCAATAAAGCAAGCCTTGTCCCACATCAGCACCCTCACTTCCTGAGGGCTTCCTGGGGCAGGCTTCCCTCTGGAGCTCTTCCAAGAGCTCCAGGGTTATTCTTTTGGGTCTTTCTTAGCAGGTTAGAACATAGAATGAGGGGGAGCAAACTCAGAGGGTCCTCTGATTAATGTTCACACAGAATGGCTTTCAGGCATAGGGGAGTGGGTGGTGGTGGTTTGAGCAAGAGCTGGTAAGGGCCAGTTTTGGGGACAATTTGAGGTTCTTAGAAGCAGGCAAGGTCCATGTATTTAGAGTCCATGTATTTTCAACCTTCTTCCCCTGACAACTTTTTTTCTTAATTATACATATGAATACTACCTGTATACTATATTCTGTTTGTGTACTATATCTGTGCTTTATACATAAAAGATTGACTTTTTTCACTGCTGTCCCCTGAATCCATTTTCATTCCCATGGGAATACTAGGTATGGATGGAACACCTCTACGGGGCAGGATCTTGTTCCTCTTTCCAAACACTGGAGCTCTCCCATGTGAAGGGTCAATTCCAAAATTGGGAAGGAGGATGTAATGAGGAAATTCCTTATATTTTTTCCTGCTGGTCCTGGGCTTTGAATTCTGGGCTTGGGTGCTATCTTAGCTATTTTGCTTGACTAGTGCTCTACTATGTGAGCCACAGCTACATTTCTCACTTTTTTGTTTAATGGTTAATTCAAGATTTAGAGTTCCATCAACTTTTCCTGCCAGGTTGTCTTTGAACCTCCAAGATCAGATCGCAGTCTTCTGAGTAGCTAGGATTACAGGCATGACTACCAGCTCCCATCTTGGCAATTCCTTCTAATAGTGAAGAGACAAGAAATGAGTGTGTGCACATGTGTGTGTTCACGCATACACACACACACACACACACACACACACACACACACACACGGCTCAAGGGGAGCTGGCTCTGGAATGGGGATGGGGGTAGCCAAAACCCATTGATGGCAGGGCCAGGAAGGAGTCGTCTTGGTTTGGAGGAGTCTTCTTCTGCTCTCACTCATCCATTTAGCCTTTCCATAATCACTGTGTACCTACTGTGTGCAGGCCCTTGGGGGTTAGACATGTCTAATGGATTCTCCGCCTGTGAGGAAGAGTACAGTCTAGTAACAAAGGAAATGGAGGAGAGTTGGAGGCTTGGAGTCGGTGGAGCTTACAGGGGGACTTATAGCCAGTCTCAGGGCTAAGGCTAGGGATGGCTTCCCAGAAAAGGGAGGACAGAGTGGGGGTGAAGGGTGTGGCTAAGATACCCACATTACAGGACAGGGGCAGAGGAAGCTAGGCTTGGACCTCCTTTTCTTTTGTTTGGGGGGTCCGGTCGTGGGGCCTTGAACTCTGGGCTTGGGCGCTGTCCCTCAGCTCTTCAGCTCAAGGCTAGAGCTCTACCACTTGAGCCACAGAGCCACTTCCGGCTTTTTTCTTTTTGCTTATGTGGTGCTGAGGAATCGAACCCTCATGCATGCAAGGCAAGCGCTCTACCGCTGAGCCACCTTCCCAGCCCTTGGGCCTCCTTTTGAAGCTGAGGCAATTTAGGAAGCAGACCTGAGCAGCATCATGTGAGATGATGGAAATGGGGAGAGGCAGTAATCCAGGAGGCACAGCAAGGTGCCCAACAGGCAGTGCTATGGGCAGGGAGAGGAGAGATGTGATTTGATCAAGCCTTGGGAACTACACCAGGCAGGACTTGGGTTCGGTTTGGATAAAGTAGCTGGTAAGGAATGGGAGGAGTGAGGCTTGGACTTGAGGGGCTGAGGATCTCCACTGAGAATAGGATTTGGAGAGGAAGACTAGTAACATTCTGGGTATATTCTGTCTGAGTTGCCTATGGAACTTTGGGAAGGGGGATCAGAGATGTGTGGTCTTGGGCATTCAAACTCTGAATCTTCTTTGTCTTTTCACTTGTAAAATGGGGTTAAGACTATCATCTACTAAGCCAGGCGCATTATACATGGGTAATATAAGCAGTCTAGTAATTTTCAAGTTCTAGGGCTGGGGGGTAAATTTGTGCATTTGTTACATGATTGTGCTGATAACATATAATACATAAATATGATGTGTATGCTATGAATCTAAAGTCAGCTGTAGTATAACATCAGGAGGGGCTGACAGAGGTTACACGGCTAAGATCACAGAGGCCCAGGAGGCAGGCACCAAGCCCAGGGGATCCAGGTCTGGGAGTGAGTAGGAAAGAGCTAGCAGCTGAGTCACCAGTGCCCCCATCTGACCCAGGCAAGCCCTTTCCCCCCTGTCAGCCCCAGCAGCCTTGTGAGCATGAAGGTGGTGTCCTTTCATTCCTGGCATTCCAGGGGAACATGACCCCCAAGGCCTCAATGATAGCTGAGAAGCATGTGCAAGCCCTAGGGCTTTGAGTCTAATTCCTATGCCCCTCACTAAACCCAGCCTTTTCTTCCTTCTTTTCTTTCATCTATCTATCTTTTATGCTAGCACCGGGGCTTGATCTCAGGGCCTGGGAGCTGTCCCATAATGCGTGTGTGTGTGTGTGTGTGTGTCTTGAACCAAGGACCTGATAGCTTCGCTTTTCTTTTTCATTCAAGGCTGGTGCTCTTCTACTTGAAGCATGCCTCCATTTCCTCCTTAGCTTAATTTTTAAGTTTTTTCTTTGCAGCCCTACTGCTTGAGCCAAAGCTCTTCTTGGTGGTTAACTGGAGATGAGTTGCCTGAATTTTCCTGCCCGGGCTGACTTTGAACCTTGATCCTCAGCTCTCAGCCCAAGTAGTTAGGCTGATAGGCATCAGCCACCAGCACCTGGCTCTGAATACCAGCCTTTCACAGCCTCACGTTCCTGGTAGTATGTTCATCTAGAACTCCTACCTACTGTGTGCTGTCCTGCCACCAACTTGCCTTTGATGTTTCCTGTCACAACTTGCAGGTTCTAGTGCCAATGGCAGGCTCAGTCCGATGGGCCCTGACCCCAGGCACATTCTCTCAGCAGACATTGGTTGAGAGCTTATAATGTGACAGCCATCATTCTAGCACCAAGGATATGGGAACAAGGAAAACAAACAAATCTCTGGACTGTGCAAAATATATGGTGGGTAACTAATGCCAAGAAGGATGAACAGGAAGTTTTAGGGAGCTATGAACCGAAGACAGCCTTGCTGAGAAGCTAATTACGGGAGGACCTGGAAGGGGTGACGGAGTGAGGCATGGAGACACTTGGGGTGGGGTGGGAGAGCGTGTCAGGATGAAGAGCTCAGGAGGTGGGACCTGGAGGCGCCATTGTGCTGGAATGGAAGGGGAAGAAGAGGAGGTCAGAGAAATAGAGGGTACGGGTGGACTGAGGCCAGGTCCAGGGGAGAGGTGAGGACAAAGGCTGGGGCAGAGGTGAGAGTCTCTAGAGGGGAAAGGCAGGTCCTGGTGCAGGAAGGAAGGAAGCAGGATGGGTGGAGTGGGCCCCTTGTGGGGCCTTGTTGGCCAATACATGCAGGCATATTCACATGTGCGCATGCACACACATTCCCATTTTCCCAGCACAGACTGCCTATGTGACACAGACAACACTGCTCCCTTCTCTGGGCCTTGGATTCCCTTCTCCACAGTGAGATTTGACTTGTTGGTGTCTGTGGGCCTCCTAGCTGACTTCTTCCAGCAGTTTGAGGCCTCCTTTTAGAGGCCTATTCTCCAACCTGCCTTCGCTAGCTGAGGCTGAAGTTGAGATGGGTACAGAGGCTGGGCAGGAACAACTCCAAGCCCCAGGCCAGGCTCTTCCAGGGCTTTTCTGCAAGCCCTTTGCAAGCACAGCAAAGCAGGTTTGGTTTGCAGCCTGTTGGTCCCAGCTTTGAGAAGAGACCCTGTCTGCCTTACTCCACGGATATCCAAGGGTCAATGGCTGTATCCTGATGCCCCTCAGATGGGTCCTGCACCTCAGGTCCAGGCCTTGTGCTGACATCTTCAGCATTAGGAGGCTGTGGCCACTTCTCAGCAGTGCAGTTGGACCTTAGCTCCACCTCCACCTCTGCACTGACCTCAGCTGGATCTTAGCCATCCAGCCAATCTGTACACAGCATGGGTGCTAAGAGCATAATGAAGCCAAACACCTGCTCTGCCACTTCCTGGCTGTGTAAAGATAGTCTAAGAGCTCCTCCCCACAGAACTACTGTGACAACAGGGTCGCACCTACATTTGGGAATGTACATGCATGTTTCATCACTATGGCAACAACACACATCACCCACATCTGATATACAAGGAAACTGAGGCTGAGGAGATAGGTTTTGTAAGGGCAGAGGAGGGAGTGTAGCTGTGAGTATGCTTCTGAAGCCTTGCATTAACTCTGCACCCAAAAATCGAATCTTACACTTTAATCATGAAATATGCTCTGCAATCAGTGTAACTAACAAAGGTATACTTACGATAACAACACAAATACTCAAGGCAGCCAGGTGTAGCTGGATATCACTGGCTCACAGTGTAATCCTAGCTACTCAGGAGGCTGAGATCTGAGAATCCTGGTTCAAAGCCAGACCAGGGAAGTCCATGAGACTCTTATCTCTAACTACCAGAAAACCAGAAGCAAAGCTATGGCTCAAAGTGGTAGAACACCAGCTTTGAGTGAAAAGGCTCAGGGACAGTGTCCTGGCCCTGAGTTCAAGCCCTACAACTGACATAAAAAGAAAAAAAGACACACATACACACACACACACACACACAAGTGCCAGATGTCCATGCTCAGGGGGCTGAGGCAGGAGGATTACTTGAGCTCAGGAATTTGAGGCCAATCAGAGAGACATAGGGAGATTGTTTCAAAATAAAACAATCCTCAAATAAAATGGAAGTTCAGACAGAGTAGGGTTTTCAAGGGCTCAGGTCTTAAGATCCTTGTCTCTGACTAGGAGCTAAGATGGGGGTGCTAGAGGTGTGTGAGGAGGATCTGGACCTCTCCAGCTATGGGCTTAGGGAGAAGCCATATAGCTCAGTCTGGTACACTCAAGCACACAGATGTGGCCTCAAGTCTTGGACTGAGCCTTTGAGATCTCCAGTGACCCAACCAAACCTTCAGGGATGGATACAGATGTCTCAGGTGGTGGTGTCAGAGTACTGCAGCGATGTCTCCCGGGATGGGCATGTAGCATTGTGGCAGAACACCCGTAAAGCTTGTGCAGACAATGGGTTCCGTTTCCACACTCTTCTACCCAAAATGTGTCTTTGACCCCATTTTGCCATTCCTCCACACTTGGCTCCAGGTAAGGCTCCCTTAAGACCAAGGAAGATCTACACTATGTGGAGTAAGGGCTGGGGATTTATGTTGGAAGGTGCCCCCTTCAGACTGCAGCCCCCTGACTGGGAAGGGGATGCCTGCACTTTGGGAGGCCCTCCAGAGCCTCACTAGAATACTGTCCTGGGGCTTTGAATGCTGTTTCTAAG